AACACTGTTCAAAACCCGGAAAATACTCCAGTATATTATGCTGGAGTTCCAGCATAAGTATACTTGAACTCCAACATATTATACTGGAGTTCCAGCATAAATACACTAGAACTCCAGCATAATATGCTGGAGTTCCAGCAAGTATAATGGTCCAGTATAATATACTGGAGTTTGGAGCACCAGTGCTCCAGTCTCCAGTATATTATACTGGAGCCAGCAAAGTATACTGGTCCAGCATAATATGCTGGAGTTCATACACAAGTGCACCGAACTCCAGTATATTATGCTGAACCGGTCTCTATTGCAGCAAAACGGTGGCTATTTTTTATTGACTTGGTAAACGCTGGCTATTTTTGATTGACCAATCCGAAAATTGGCTATACCGTGAAATTTTGGCCTAATAAATGATTTGATTGTGTAAATATTTTACATGATCTATGCGTAATAAAAATTTCATGGGACACGCTATTTGGTCGCCCCCATTTAACTTGTACCCATTTTTTAAACGAAGTTTAACTAGTACCCAAAGTATAGACAACTTCAGACCTTTATTCTAAGTTGTTGTGAAAATGAAGGTGATAGTGGATTACATGGTGTTTGCGACCATGGTTTAAGGTGGTTTATAGTGTTTTACAGTAGTCAGGTGATGTGGCGCTCCTCTCTTTGCTACTGCTGGGTGTCTTCTTCTTCTTCTTCATCTTAGTTGCAAAATGTGTTTGTTAGATTTGTTGTTGTTTTGACAAATTGATGATTGGAGTTGGTTCTTTATGATATTTGAAAGTCATATTTTAGTTTTGAGCTCGTCTTTTTAGTAGATTTGAGTGTTGAATCGTATGTTGGAATTGGATTGTTGAAATTCGAAAAATAAATTTTTGTTTCTGTGCAATTTGCACTTTACTAAAAAGTCTTAAGTGCATGCAAAAATTAGTTGGCACTGCATACCAATTAAGTCTTAAGTGCATCTTAAATGCATTTTTGCATTATAGACTAAAAAAGTCTTAAGTGAATGGACAAATTAGTTGCACTTAAGTGAATAGTAAGTACATCTAAAATTTGCAATTTCAGGCATGAATTTCTCCAACTTCAGACTCGATAAGTCTGAAATTGATCCTAAAACGGATAAACTTGTAAAGTTTTTGCAATACGTTATGCGGATATAACTTCAATGATAACCCAAAATTGGGCATATATATAATAAACTCATTTACGATATATAGCTGAGTTTCTAATTGATAGTATTTTTTTGGCTTTGCCTTGCACATCCAATGATGGAAGATACGATCGCTGTAATTAAAAACACAGGTGGATTGTGTTGAAACTGCTCAAGATGTCCCTCAATTATAAACAAATCAGTTCGTTGCGAAACGAAATAACCAATAAGAAAAGAGGAATATTCAGATTATCTGAACAGACATGGTTTCACACTGAAATTTAATTAAACAGAGTTTTTTTTTTAAAGATTATTCACTAAAGAAAAGAGGAATAACTATTAACACTTGAGAGTACCATGCATGTACAAAGGTTATCCAATTACAAGACCCAGCTTAAAATAATAACTACTTGAAACAAGACGTAGTTGATTCTCTTGTTCATTTCTTGAACAGTAAGCTTACTCGTATCAAGAACAAATATCCGTTACCTGAATAGTAAACTTACCATATCACTTGGGTCAGTTAAAAAATGCCAGACTGAACAACAAGATGGCACGCAGCTTCGATGGTAGGATTAAAAATAATTATGTTTAGAATTGCAAAGGTATAACGTAAAAACAATTGGGACACTGAAAATAAAGAAATTGGATGGCTAAATGCAAAGTTTGTCCCCCTAGAATTCCTCTACAAAATAGTGGAAGTTATATTGTCGATAATGGTTGATCAAGGCGGCGATTACAAAGAAAACTATCGGATAAATAAAATTTTGATGTCTCACCACATGGTGTAAAAATTTCCAAACTAAAAAGTATGATACACGAGTAACTTGAGCCATCCTGCAAAAACAAAAAGAAAGTCCACTAAGAAAGTAATGCAAATATTTGCACGTAAATAAGCAGAAAGAAAAAGCCATAAGTTTCTCGAGACGTCCAAGTCATATGATCCAGAATTACCACTCCTTCAATTAGGTTAAAGGAAATATTGATGTTAGTGTCAACAGATGAAACTGTATGTGCTTTTGCCTGAGGAATGAAATTGCACATTGTGGCTGTTGATTGATATTCTGAAAAGGCAAAATCTTAGACAAAAGCCTCAAGAGTCGACTATGCACAGAGAAAAACTGAGAATTGCACTTCCAACATTTCTCAACTTTCAGTTTGCCCTCAGTGAACCCATCTATCATCAAAAAGAAATTTCTATGTGCTCGACTCATGAAAAAAAAAATTCAAGCCCGCACGTGAGAGGGCTTGTTGAAGGCATAATTTAAATAACTAAAAGTAGATGTTGCCTAACAACTTAAGGGTTAGAAAGTAGAAAAGCCATCCTTACCTAGCCCTGAACTAACGGAACTCATCATGGTATTCATAGTCTTCGTCATCCTCGTTAAATATTGCACTATAGAACACGTATGGGCTATCAATCATCTCTTTTAAAGTAAGCCTTCCATCTTTATCTGCATCAGCCTGAGAGAAAACATAGCAGAATTATTTAACACCACTATTTCCCACTCACTTACTACTCAATCAGCAAAGAAGAATAATGTGCATTCCGAATCTATATTGTTTTGGAACATTTCCGTTTCACGTGTGACAGTAAGGTTCAATCATATTAAGGTTTTTTGGTTCACTAGTTCACAAAAGGAACAAAATTGGGGAACTTGTAAGGTGCAATTTCCTTAATATATTTCACATTCTTCATTTTAACCAATAAGAATAAGAGTTTCTCCTTGCAATCTCCTTTAAACGTGCATATTAGAAAAAAGAAGACTCACACCTCTACATTGTGATGTCCACCAATAACAAGAGACCAGTACTTTCCACGAGATTTATTAATGTATACTCAAATTGAGAATATTGGCCACAGAGTGTACAATCTAGAAGTGGCAAAACTAACCCAAACTCATTTGACCCGCCCAAGTGAACTTTGGGCAGGGTTGGGCAATGACCCATTTAATGAGTCAGCCCATATTGACTAGCCTGAACAGTCCATTTGCGACCCCTAGTACAATCCAACTAAAACCTAAGCTTTAGGAGAATTATTACATCACAGAATAGACGGAATTGTTTGAATTGTTAACTTCACTGCCTAATCCTGGATTACTTGGAAGTTATGCCGTTCACAACAATTTGCAAACAGCATAAAAAGTAAAAGCAAATAGCACCTGAATACATGATTAGGCGCAAACGTTTTTTGATGACAATAATTTTGAGAAAAAAACAGACAGACATTATTCAACAATAGTCATAAATAAAAGATTATCAGGTAACTTTTAGAGATGCAGAAAGGACTGGATGGAACACATAACTACATAAGTGTACTTCAGATATATTTTGCACAGCATTACAAGAAGGCCATTTTATCCTTCAAAATTCTAGCTATAGCTCCAGCAGGCAAAAAGTAAATCAATAGCAGCAGTTTGGTTATAGGCTTGTATAAGGCAGAATGCAAGTGCTTATTGGTAACAGCAAGCAGTAATGACCAAATTCAGCATTCTATTGGAATAGGCATTTGGATCGAGTGAAAATACCTGCTGTATGATGTAATCTGCTTGTTGTTTGGCATAATAACGCTCTGATGGATGAAGTTTTCCAATTATAGGTAGCAATTCAGCGTCTGACAAATATCTGCATAACATCAAATGTAAGGATTTGTTGATGGATTTACTCAAGACAATATTGAATGAGATGTCTAGTTTCTTACCCATCTCCATCTTTATCAAGCTCAGCAAACAACTTTTTAGCCGGAGACTCTTGTGAATCCTCGGAATGATGAGAAGAATCATGACTCTCCTCATCATAGTTTCTCACTAAGTCAAACAGCCCATGAAAGAACTCTTTGAAGTTAACCTTACCATCTTTGTCACTATCTCTCTCCCTGAAATTATATGAGAGCCAAAAAAGAAATGAAATGATTATAAACAATGTTCACCTAGGAAAGACAGCTTAGCAACAAAAAATTATCCGTTAAGGTTCATTAATAAACCAAAGATTAGCATGAAGAACAATTTTAAGGCATAATACAATTTGAAACTCAAAACTAGTAGAATCTCCAATAATATACCAAACCTACATTTTAATGCACATATACAACTGTAACATTTATCCTGTACAAAACTATACTTGCATCTGATATAGTACAAGTTCTTAAGAAAGTCCATTAGCTTGCCTCTGGAGCATGTTAGAATATTTAAGTTTAAATTGACATCCAATTGCTATTTCTAAAAGCTGGAGCTGCTAAAGTCATTGTTTACAATTCTTTTTTATTTTGGTGCTTCAGAGCTATGTCACCCGGATTCAGGTGTGGGTACCAGATACAATACAGAATACAGGTGCGGATCTAGAAGTTGAATTCTTCATCACATAAAGTTTAAGTTTCGGGGGTACAGATCCGAGTACATCTACGGGTGCTAAGATACAACAAACAAATGAATATACAACATATANTATAGAGACGTCTGTATTTATCTTTGAGAGGCTATAGGGTTTTAGGAAAACTACTCTTTATTCATTTCATCTCGTGCAATGGTCAGTATACTAAGTTTCCTTCTCTACTCTCTCACAGATGGTGAGGACACGCACGGCCGATGTTCCAGACCCGGGAGGTGCTGCTCCCCCCGCTACTAGAGGCCGAGGCAGAGGCTGGGGGAGGGCACCGGCCCGAGGTAGGGGACGAGGGCGTCCCAGAGCTGTCCCAGTAGCACCACCAGCAGATCTTGTGGGAGATCATATTATCGAGGAGCAGGGTGAGGTGCCTGCACCCGAGCCCACCCCGACAGACTTTATGACAGCACCGGGATTTCAGGAGGTTATGGGCCGTATGCTTCGGTTCATGGATTCTATGACTCAGGCTGGTTTATTTCCAGCAGATCCAGCTACCTCACAGGCAGGAGGGGGAGCACAGACCCCTATTGCTCAGGCTCCCGGTCATGCAGCCGCAGTGTATCAGACTTCGGGCGCACTACCCGCGGATGGGGTTCAGCCGGTTGCTGCAGTAGCACCCCAGCCCAGGCCAGCTGCGGATGGCGATCCGCAGAAGTTATTGGATAGATGGACTAGGCTTCACCCTCCGGTCTTCGGGGGCGAGCGTCATGAGGATGCCCAGGACTTCATTGACAGGTGCAGGGACAGGCTGCACAACATGAGGATATTGGAGTCTCATGGAGTTGACTTCACTACTTTTCAGCTTGAGGGCAGGGCTCGCAGATGGTGGTAGTCTTATGTTCTGGGTAGGCCAGTAGGTTCTCCTCCTATCACTTGGAGTGAGTTCACACAGTTGTTTCTGGACAAATATATTCCACCCTCTGAGAGGGAAGAGCTGCAGTATCAGTTTGAGCAGCTAGAGTAGGGCCAGATGTCCATGACTGATTATGAGGCGAGGTTTTCTGAGCTATCCCGCCATGCATTGATGATACTACCTACTAACGCAGAGAGGGTGCGGAAGTTTGTTGCAAGGCTGCATTTCGGCATCAGGGCCAACATGGCCCGAGAGGTAGATTTGGGGACTCCTTACCAGTTAGTAGTGGAGATTGCTCGGAGGAATGAGGGTTACCGTTAGAGGTGTAGGGAGCAGATGCAGCAGGATAAGAGGGCTAGGTTCTCCGGAGAGTTCAGAGGTGCCTCGACTAGGGGCAGAGATCAGTTCGGGAGAGGGCAGCCCAGCAGGCTCCCACATTCAGCACCACCACCTGCTCGGGGTGCTCCAGCGTGCCCCTATTTCAACGCCATTCCAGAGAGTTCCTATCGCCCACCAGCTATTCAGGGTTCCTCTGGTGGGTATTCAGGTCCGTAGGGTTCTTCTGATCCATACTTCAGTGCTATGCCGGAGATTTCACACCCTCCGCCGGCCATCCAGGCTTCTTCCAGTGGGTCTGCAGGCCATCAGGGCCAGCCATCAGGTCAGCAGGTTGCCACACCGCGGGGTTATTTCGAGTGCGGGGACCTTGGTCATATGAGGAGATACTGCCCCAGGCTTCGGGGCAAGGCAGTGCAGCAGGGCCAGCAGCCTACGATTTCAGCGCCAGCTGCCCCGCCACCTAGAGGTGGAGGGAAGACTGGTAGGGGCCGTCCTAGGGGTGGAGGTCAGGCAGGGAGAGGTCAGCCAGCTACTGCTCAGTCAGGCGGTGGCCAGCCAGCCGGCGCTCCAGCCATATTCTACGCTCTTCCACCCAGGCCAGATGCATTAGCCTCAGATGCCGTCATCACAGGTATTAATTCCGTCTGCGGTAGAGATGCTTCGGTATTATTTGATCCAGGGTCCACCTATTCCTATGTATCATCGCTGTTTGCTCGATTCCTGGTTATTCCTCCTGCACCTTTGGGCACTCATGTTCATGTGTCCACTCTTGTGGGCGTTTCCGTGGTTGAAGACTGTAACGACCCGACCCGTCGTTATGGGAGTTACCGCCCCGTTTTCCCTGTTTTATGCTTCTATATGTTTCATTATACGTGTTTGGAGAATTTGAAGTAATTCGGATAGAGTTTGGTTAGAAATGAGACAATAAGTCTCTTTATGATAAGGTTAGTTTGAAAAAAGTCAACCAAATGTTGACTTATGAGTTAGAAGGCTCGGAATGGATTTCTGACGATTCGACCAGTTTCGGGAGATGATTTGTGACTTAGGAGCGCAATCGGAACTGAATTTGGAGGTCCGGTGTGGAATTAGGCTTGAATTGGCTAAGGTTGAATTTTGGCGAATTCCGGATGGTAGGTGAGATTTTGATCCGAGGGTCGGACGGAATTCCGAGAGTTGCAGTAGCTCCATTAGGTGATTTTGGATATGCGTGCAAAGTTTCAGATCATTCGGAGGTGTTTAGGTCGGGTTTTTAGATCAAATGCAAGTTTCGGAAGTTTTAGTTTAACTTAGGCTTGAATCCGTGGTAATTCGATGATTTTGGTGTTTATGATAGTGTTTTTATGTTACGAGCAAGTTCGAATGAAGTAATAGAACATATCTGTGCATTTGGTTGAGGTTCCGAGGGCCTCGGGGTGAATTAGGGTGGTTAAACGAGAGTTTTGAGGTGTAATTGCAGGTCAGATTTTTCTGTCATCTGGTGTTTCCGCTTCTGCGGAAATGGACCGCAGAAGCGGTACCGCAGAAGCGGGTACGTGGTCGCAGAAGCGGTCGTGGCCGGCTAGGGAAATTCCGCAGATGCGGAAGGTGGCTCGCACCAGCGGGTCCGCATAAGCGGACAAGGTGCCGCAGAAGCGGGTTTGAAGGAACCGCAGAAGCGGACTTCGCGTCGCATAAGCGAAGTCCGGGCTTCTAAGTGAAAACCGCTTAAGCGGAAATGTGGCCGCAGAAGCGGTCCCGCATAAGCGAAAGCGGGACCGCAGAAGCGAAAATCGCTGGGCGACAGAAGGGTTTTAAAATAATATTTCATCCGCGACCCTTTCATATTTTTCCTCCATTGTTGACGTTCTTAAGAGCTTTGAACAAGGAAATTCGAGGGTTTTGACTGAGAATCACTTGGAGGTAAGTTCCTTGGCCTAAATATTCGAATTTATGGTAGAAATTACATGTAAATTGTAGAAAATTCATCAAAAACGGGTCAGGCTAGGGCTTGGAAAGCTGTGATGTAAAAATGGAATTTGGAGGGTCAAACGAGCTCCGATTTTGGTAAACTTTATATGCACGGACTCGTGGCGAGACGAGGAATCCGTTGGTGTGATTTTCGGAATTTTTCGAGAAGTGGGCCCGGGGTTCGGGTTTTACCAACTTCGTGAATTTTAGTACTTTTCGAGTATTTTTGATTGGGTTATGTTTCTTTAACCCATATTTATGTATTCGTTGTGATTTTGACTAGATTCGACGCGCGAGGAGGTCGATACGAAAGGAAAAGGCATTGCGGACCATTCTACGGCCGGATAGAGGTGAGTAGTTGGTGTATATGATGGCCTGAGGGTTTGAAACCCCGGCTTATCACATTGTGACGCTATTGTAGGGCGTGACTCGCACCCCATGGCAGGTGCGGGATTGGTTATGACTGGGGATCGAGACTTAATCCATCCCGAACAAGAATATTTCTATATTGGCGAGTGATACGCACCCTGTATTGAATATATCTGGGCTTATTGCCGTGTTTGGGGCCTTGTGCCGATCTGTAGCATCCTTAGAGGATGATTGTCATTGTGATAGCATGCTTTGTATAATCATTGATCTCAGTCCTGTGTTTAATCACTGTTATGAAACGCTAAGTCACTTTTCCTGAAGTTAAATATCTAAAGTATTTTCTTCTTAATAAATTGGAAATTGGGAAATTAACTGAATCTCTTACGTGACTCATATGCATATTGCGGACTGAGTATGGATCGGGCTGCACGCCGCAGCGAATCGTATGATTATATTGCGCTTGGGCTGAAGGAGCCCCTCCGGAGTCTGTACACACCCCCAGTGAGCGCCATCGACGTTAAATGGATCGGGCTACGCGCCGTAGCGGTCATGTGCATTGCATTGCATCTTTACATTATACTTGACTGATATATTTTGAGTTGTTTTGCTGTTAGTTCGTAGTTAGGTGTTGGACTGTTAGTTTTAGCTTTACTTTGTGGCATTTCGTGAATTTCTTATCTTCAGACATTTTATATGCTTATTACTCACTGAGTCGGTAGTACTCACCCCCTACTCCCTGCACCTTGTGTGCAGATTCAGGTACACCGGAGGCTTAGCTGAGCAGTCTTTGTTTCCCAGAGCTTATCAGAGTTGTTGAGGTAGCTGCTTGACGTTCGCAGGACCTGACTACTCTTCCTATTTCAGTTTTATTTATATATACATTTCCAGACTTGAGTATTTTCGTTCAGATATTGTTATTCAGATTGTTTTAGAGGCTCTAGACTCGTGACCCCAGGTCTTTGGGAGCGTTTTATCAGACTTCGTATTTTTCTCAGTATTATTCTATTATAAATATTGGATTATTATTCTAAAACTA